AAAAAATAATCAAATTTTTAAAGAATTTTAATTATAAATAATTTCTCTAAAATTCTAAAATAGTAAATTTTTAAAAATTTTAATTTACTTTGTTTCAAGATAATTGAATCTTAATAAATTATGATAAAACAATTCTAAGAATTAGTTTTTTATAAATATTGTAATTAAATTTTTCGAAAATAATTGAAGAATTTTTTGAAGAATTTTAATTAAAATTTTTGAATATGATTATTTTCTCCAAAATGTTTAAAAAATAATTCTAAAAAAATTTTAATGTTATTATTTTGTATATGTATTTAAATTTTCGGAAATATTAAAAATATTGAAAATAATTGAATTTTAAAAAATTAGAATGAAATTATTTAGAAAATGACTTTTTTTAAAACTATTTTAATATTATTTTTATAACCTGATTTTCCCTAATTTTTATTTTTTTTTAAATTTACACTTGAAGTCGAAAAAGTCATAATGTCCGAGGCCTGAATATTGTATACGACCTAAGCTACAGATAAACTTTGAAACAAGATTAGCTTTGAACAAGAAGTTCGGATTGATTTTAAAAAAAGTAACAAAATAACAAATAGTAACAAAATTTGTTTGAATATTTAAGTGGTAAAAAGTTTAAAGAGATAAAAAGTTTCAACAAAATGAATATTTTTTAATAATATCCTTTTCAATTTTACAAATATAATAAATTTGTTTATTTTTAATAAAAATACGTTACGCTAAAAAACTTTTTGTAACAAACAGTATTAACGCATTGAAAGTTAACTTCGGTGAAAAACATTTTTAAAAATTTATAACTTTTGCAAAATTAACGATGTAAGTCTATGAAAATGTAACGACTAAAGTAACGGAGCTACTTCTAAAAAATAACTAGTTATTTCAAAGAAGTAACGGTAAAGGTAACAAATTACAAATGTAAATAGAAAAGCTCAAAATAAAAAACATGAAAAGTTTAAAAAAAATTTTTAATTATAGAAAACCCATTTCAAGAAAAATTGTAAAACTAAAAAAGATTTATTAATGGAAAATAGTTAACTTTTCCTACGACATTCAGTAGCAATTTCTGCATAGAAATCATCTCAATGTTTAACAAATTGAAAATCGATTAAGCGGTAATAAAAAAATGTTGTAAAGCAATAAAAATGAAATAAAATCAATTTTTCAAAATCATTTGCTATTACTATTAAACAATCAATGTTAAGTTAGAAAACAATAAAATTTTTCTTTCTTGAAAAGAATTTTGAACGTTTAAATGAATGACATTTTTTGCAACATTCATGTTTTTTAAAAATTAGGTTCTCAATGAAATAAAAATGAACACGTCAAATTAAAAATTTTGAAACTTTATGATTTTTTCATAAAAATTGTTTTAGTAACTTTTCCAAAATTTAATATTTTTCTAGAATTTTTAAATAAAATGTTCCTCTAAATCAATTATTATTTTTAATAACTATAGAAAGTTCTTTGAGAGTTTAATTATTTAAAAAAAAGTTGATTTAAAATTTGTCTGAAATTTAATTGTTTTCAATTAAATATTACAAAATTTCGATTATTATTATTATTCAAAAGTTTTTTAATTAAATAAAATATATTTAAAAATTTAACTCATTTTTAAAAAATCTGAACTAAAAATAATTCAATGAACTATAAGAACTTCTAAAGTTTTAATTGAAGTTACTTGAAATTAAATTTTCCTACCTGCGGTAACTTTTTTTATTGATAAAGGTAATAAAAATTAAAAAACAAGTCAAACTCAAAAACAAATTTTAAAAAATATTTAAAACTAAATTATAAAAATTTATTTTAATGAATACTTAATAATTTCACTTTTCAGCACTTTAAAAAAAAAAGTTGTTAAATTAGAACAAAGGAGATTTTATTCAAAGTCATTTTAGGTTCTAAATTTATTAATACCAATAATTGTTGGAATTACGATAATTTCAATTCAATTATTATTTTCAATGATTTTTAACTAAAATTCAATTCTTATGAAGAATTTTATCAACAAAATTTTTAAATAATTAAATTCTATGGCAGAATTTTAAGAATAAGGACATTTTTCGAGAAATTCGATTAAAATAATTGTATTAAAAATAATTGAAATTTTGCCATGAGTTTTATTATTTATAAAAATAATTGAATCTTTTAGAAAATTTTATTAAAATAGTAGATATTGAAAATCATTGAATTGAAGAAAATTGAGGGTCCCTATCAAAGAACCGGTTATAAGTTTTTGAGACTCAAAATTCTCGACTTCTAAATAAAAAAAAGGATTTAAAATTTAATTTTCTTGAAAACATTTCGTATTTTTCTAAAGATAACCGAAATGTTTTTAAAAAAATTGAGATTAAAAACAGTTTAATATTTTACTTACAGGGCAATGATTTTGAGTCTCAAAAACTTATAACCGGTTCTTTGATAGGGACCCTCAATTTTGGAAAATAATTAAAATTTTGCCAATTTTTAAAATAAAACCTTTTCAAAATTCAATTATTTAAAAAAATTTATGCTAAAATGCTCATAATATTCAATTATGTAAAATTTTAAATGAAATTCATTTTTAAATCAATTTTTTTAAGAAAATTCTACTAAAATTCAATTATTTACACACAAATAAAATGGAAATAAATAATTTATTGAATAATTGAATGTTTCTTAACATTAAATTCTCATAACGAATTTTATCAACAAGTTTTTAAATAATTGAATTCTTTGGCGAATTTTAATAAAATTTTTAAGAATAATTACATTCTTTGAGGAATTTGATTAAAATTGTATTAAAAATAATTGAAATTCTGCGATGAATTATATTATTTATGAAAAAAATTGATTAGTTGCTAAGAATTTTATTAATATTTTCAAAAATAATTGAATTCCATCGAAGAATTTTATTATTTATGAAAATAATGAAATTATTGCGAACAAATTTGTAAAAAATTTGTAAATTATTTAATTTCTGTCAAACTTTTATTATTTTATGAAAGTAATTAAATGTTTGCGTAGAATTTTATTAAAGTTTTTTTAAATAATTGAATTCTGTTGACAAATTTTTATTAAAATAGTAGATATTGAAAATCATGAAAATCAAGAAAATGTTTGAAAATAATTGAAATTTTGTCAAGAATTTTATTAAAACTTTCAAAAATAATTGAATTCTTACGAAGAATATTTTATTACATTTTTTTTAAATAATTGATTTTTTTCAAAAAATTTTATAAAAATCATTTTAAATAATTTTTTTTTCGAAAAATTTTATTAAAATTGTGTTTTAAAATAATTAAAGTCCTGTGAAAATTTTATTGCTTACGAAAATAATTGAATTTCTAAAAAAAATTTATTATTTACGAAAATAATTGAATCTCTGTAAAAATTTTATATTATTTATAAAAATAATTGAATTTATGCAAAGAAGTTTATAAAAAAATTTGTTAATTATTGAATTCATGTAAAAGTTTTATTATTTGCGAAAATAATTGAACGTTTTCGTAGGATTTTATTAAATCTTTTTTTTAAATAATTGAATTCTTTTGGAAAATTTTATTAAAATAGTAGATATTAAAAATAATTGAAATGCGGAAAATTTTTGTAAATAATTGAAATTTGCAAAGAATTTTATTAAAATTTTTGAAAATAATTGAATTTTGGAGAAGAATTTTTTTATTTTTAAAGATAATTGAAATTTTGACGAGAATTTTTTTTTTAATTTTCGAACATAAATTAAATTTTGCGAAGAATTTTATTACTTTTGAAGGACCTTTTTTCATACGTGACTCAACATTAATTTAAAAAATAAATAAATTTCATTCATTTGAACGTTCAGATTTTTAGGAACAATTTTCTCTTCAATTACAAAATTGCCAGTTTAACATTTCACGTGACGAAATTTAACTTCATTCAAATTTATTGGCACGCATAAATTATCGATGTCCAGAATTTCAAAATTTTTTAAGGAATAAAATTCACCGAGTGTAAGTATTTCAATAAAATGATAATTTTCAGATATTAATAAAATTCAGTTTAAAAAATAAATAAAAGCAGTCGATTTCTCAACAATTGGAAAAATTATTTACAAGGAAAAAATAAAAAAAAGAGTAAATATTTTTTTATCAACATACTAAGAAAATAAAATTATAATTTATATAAATAATCTTTTACTTTAAGTACATACATTTTTTTTCTTTGTCAATTTAGTTAAATTATTTCAAAGATAAAAATTTAAATTTACCTTCTGTATAATAAGCGAAAAATAAAATTTTACAAAATAAAAATTTACCAAAAACTGGATTAAATTTTATAGTTGAAATTAACAAAAAATTTATCACTTTTTTTTAAGGGCAATTTGCATCTACAATTTTTCCCAAGAAATAAAGATTTTATTCTTAAAAATTGATGTTTAATTTTAAAAATTGAAAAATGATGCAAAAAAACAGAAAACAAGGAAAAATAAGATTAAATTGTTTATAAAACCTGAGTTATTTGCTGAATTTCCAAAAATCAAACTTTGAGAGATGGTCAAATTCACATACACACACATATTAATGCTTGCAATTAAATGGAGATCTTGTTAAACGGTTCAAAATTTTATTTTCTAAATTCTTCTCTCCCATCGAAGAAAATTAATTACAAAATATTTTCAAACATTTTTCAGAAACAATTAACAATACAAAATGTAGACAATTTTCTTTGTTCGTATTTTTCCTTTTTAAAATTTTTTTTAATTGAGACTAAGAAAATGGCACTATTTATGTAATACTGACTGGAAATAATTTTTCGGAACACGAGATAACACTTTTTTGTTCGTTTATTAATGTCACTTTAATTATTCCTCGTACTTTTAGTGTAAACTTGAAAACTTATTAAAAAAATGCGCGAATTAAATTTGCAAGGGAAGAGTGAAAATAAAATTTAGCACATTTGTGTAACGCAATCAAGCTGAAAAATTACCCAGCTGGATTGAGCTGACGCCCGACGATATAGAAAAGAAAATTTCTTACGTTTTACATTTCTCCTTTGGAAATCACAAAATTATTCAAATCCATGTAACTGAACACTTAGTGATTACCTTATCAACACATTTTGAAGTTGAGGAATATAAAAATCTTGCACAATATTTTAATGAAAACTTCTTTTAGTTTGTTAACGTACTGTCTGCGCCGATGAGAACACCAACGTAAAATGGTGGTCGCTCGTTTTATGTGTATATATGTTATCTATACATATAGTTACTGCATTAAGCCGCGTCCGCATTGGAAATTACGTTCAACGCTTGAAAGGAATATTCGCGATTCTACACTGTCCTTGTTTTACGTACGATCGCGTTTATAAGGAAAAATGACAGCACTATATATGCGTATATAATTGAAAATGTACCGTTTAATTTAATAGAATTAAATATTATTTGTTTTTCACACAAGATTTTGAAAACATACACATCAAACTATGAATTAGGCTATATATACAATAAACTCTTCTTAAAGTTCACCTCACAATAGCTTCGCGATCGAGACGCATGCGATAGAAAAGGACACAAAGCGTAAAACGGTAAAAGCGTCGTAGTTAAGTTGAGTCCACAATAGCACTTTTCGACGAGACGTAAACGTACCGAAACAATGCTAAAGTTGTGTCCACAATAGCACCTTAAACGATACTTAAGGCCTAAGCACAACTGCTTCGCGAACGCAATACATGAGTTAGAAAAAGACAGAAATATATTCGTATCTTTTTCTATCTCATTATTCGCGTTGGTTTTGGCCTTTAGCATTGTTTCGTTATGATGTTTACGTTCCGTTCAAGAGTGCTATTGTGGTCTCAACCTTAAAGGTGCTTTTACGCAAACAAACACAGCAGAACTATTGTGCCAGTGTGACCGTTCCTTTATAACCTATTGTAAAGTCAACCTTTAAATTGTTTTTTTCAAGCATTTAAAATTCACAATCGAGTGAACTATCTTACTATTTTTAATTCATGCCTGACTGTACATACCATTTATCTTCTTCCTGTACATTATAAATACAAAAAAAATATTAAATAATTTGAACGACTAATTAGATATTTAAACAGAAAAGTAAATAGAAGATATTTATACTATTTTAAAAATGTCTTTAATTGAAGATAGAAAAGATTCTTCTGGAAAAAATGCAGATGTAGTTTATTGTACATTTTGTCCATCGAAAATTCTTAATGCTGGTGCTGCTACTTTTGTAAATATTGAGGTTTGTTATTTCTGTGTTTTTTATTATTAAAAAATTTTCATTGATTTACGTGAAAACATTTTTATTTAAAATTTTATATTCACTTTATGCAATAATTAAATACATGTTATTTTTAATTGTTTACCTTACAATATTTTTTAATCACTTATCTGGTCTTATATTATTTATAATATTTTTTTTTAATATTATGATTATTGTATTGTTTCACCGACTGTCGTAGCTACGAAAATTGTGTTAATGCTACTTTTTAACTACTATCAAGAATTGTTTATTTTTAAAAAATGTATTAATTTTCAAAAAAGGCGACTTTTTTCGAACGATTTTCAAAAATTGCGACTTTTTCGACATTTTTCCAAATGTTGCAACAAAAGACCACATTTTTTAGTATAAAATGCAACTTATTTCGTTTTTTATAGTATGAAAAATAATTATAGACAAATTTTTTAAAATTATATTTTTGAATAATTTTTTTACTATAATAAAATGTAGTTTTTTTTAAAGTATTTTATTAAAATTTTTGAAAATCAACGTTTGGAGAATTTTTATAGCAAATATTTAAAATAATTAAATTTGCAAAAATTTTAATGAAAAATCTTCAAGTGTAAATTTTAAAATGAAAATTTGCTTCTAAAAATTATATTAAAATATTTTATAAAAAAGGAATTCTTAGGATTTTTCCATTTTAATTTAAAAAAATTTTAAATATTTCATTTTGGACAACACAATAATTAGTTTAAAATTTTTATTAAAATTCTTCAAAAAAATTTAATAGTTCCTGTAGAAAAACAAATAAGAAGTATTTAAATATTTATTTAACAAAATTATTCAAGTTTTGAATAACTAAATTTAGAAATCAGTGAAAGATCTGGGAATACAAAATAAAATTTTAATTAAATAAAACGACTTTTTTTATTTTTAATCCACTAAAGCGATTTTTTTATGCCTTAAAGTCAATTCGAGGCCTGGAAACATAAAAAAAATTCCTAACTTTGCCTTAATTTATGAAAATTAACATAAGTTATAAAATAATGTACATGTTTTATTTTTTTGATTTATTTTAAAGTTTTTTTTTATTTTAAAGGGAATTAAATCATATCTTATATAATTATCATACATAATGTGATAATTCATTCTAAAAATATTCCATTTTTTGAAGTTAATTTGAAAATTCTCATAATTATTTTCAGAGGTAAATTATTTTTTTCCGTGTAATAACTTAAACAATTGTTATGTTTTCAAAAACTGATCAAACTTTTAACAATTAAAATTCTGATTGGAAGTGATATTTTTTGAAGTTAAGCCCAAGAAAATTAAAATATTTCATGTATTTTAAGAATTAATTTTAGCAAAATAATATTATAATAGTCAAAAATTTTTTTGATTTGAATTTCAAATATAAATACGGTCGTTTTATTTTATAAGGAAATAAGTCCCCTTTTTTTAATTTTTGCCCCTAAACGTACCCTATTTTAAAAATTTCCCCTATTTTTTTCTTTTATATTTAAATGATAAATTCACACCAAATTTAGCAAAGTGACGTTGAAACTTTCAATTGAAAACTTTTGTTTTGAAAGTTTCAAATCTTGAAATTTATGATCGATGAAATTTTTCATGAAATTTATAAAATTTCATGAAAATGAAATTAATTAATTAATTAAATTTAATTAAATTAAATTAAATTAAATTAATTTGTAAGATTAGTATTTTGGTGAAGTCAAGTCTCAAATATTTTTAAAAGTTGGTTGTTTTTTGTATAATATTATTTATTATTACAAAAGTTTTAATGCAATTATCTTGATAAATAACAAAATTCTTCACAGAAATTCAAAAATTTTTAGGAATTTTAATAAAATTCTTTACAAAATTCAATTACTCCAATTTCATCTTCAGGGAGTCAAAAAAAAATTAATGACTAAACATTCGTCATCAAAATAAAAATAAATTCACTCATCAAACGTAAGAGAAAACATAGAGTTTGGAGTCATAACTGTAAAAGATTATAAAACCAATTTTGTAATAAATAAATAAATAAATAAACATTAACATCATAGTTAAATAAATAAATTAACACTGATAAACATGGACATTATGATGACACACATTTATAGTAACGCAGTACAGAAATTTTAAAAAAGTACTTAAATAAATTAAAATAAAATAAATTAAAACTCAATTTTAATTTTTTAAATTTTTTTGGACGTTTAACTGGCTTGAAATCGGGCTTTGTGGTTCTTTTAAAAAATATTTCTTTTTATTGTTTTAAAAACTGAAGAAAAGTCATTAATTAAATTAACATCTTCTATTATTTTCTTAAAAAAGTCGTTGTAAAAATACCAAACAAGCAAAAAAAATTAAAGTTAATATTTGCTTTCATTTTCGAACGTTTTTTTTTTCAAAAATTTAAAAGAAAGCCTCCTAATTTTTTGTTATTATTTACTTTTCAGTTTTCTCTTCCTGAAATTTTGTGTAAAAAAGGAAGTGAAGGCACCAGTCGCGAAATGATTTCAGACTGCTGGATGGTGGAAGACATTAATTGCTTTGAAAATATTGGCGTCTCTCACACAGTTGAAAATGTGAAATATCTCGCATGTGCAGATTGTGAAAGAGGTCCAGTAGGATGGCACGATTTATCCACATACAAATCGTATATCGCCCTTTCTCGCGTCAAGCACGAGAAACCGAATTCTCAGAAAAAGTGATGAAACTGATTTATAACAACGAAAATAGACGGGTTTATATGTAAAAAAAAAAGAAGAAAAGACTTTATCACATTCTATTTTAATTTTATATTTATGTATGTGAATTTAGTGGACGCAGTCACTTTGCTTGTACATAGTGCGCAAGAATGATTGATCTTTGATCAGTATTGTTAACAAAGTCTAATTTTCCACAGATTATCAAAAAGTAAAAAAAGCAATGATAGTCTCGAAAACGCACAAAATGCTTTTACTTTTAAATAAAATTGATACCTAAACCGCTTTTCTATTACTACAAAAATCGGCTTCGAATTTTACAAAAAAAAAATTTTACAAAAAAATCCATTTTTACCAATTTGTTTCAACTTTTTAATATTTAAAATTCTATTTTTCAGTTTTCGTTTATTTTTTTAAAAGTTTCAATCCTTCTTGCGATATAACTCTTCCAGAGTTGAAAATTTTTACAGAAATATCCCAATAGTGCAGCAAGAGTTGCTAATTGAAACATTTTCTCAGAATTGGAAAAAAATTGATTTTTTAAGAGTGAAATTCGAAAAAGAATGTTAACGACAAAGTTTATATAAATTTTATTCAAAATTTTCACAGAAGTAAACTCAATGAGCATTTACGAATTTCAATAATATAAATATATAACAAAAAATATATTTTATCATGAATATTCATAATAAATATTTAATCAGTTTTGATAATGAATTTTTTTCTACTACAAAAGCTTTAATTTCCAATAAAAAGTAATTTTTACCACAAATATTTATATATAGTTTTGTATATTTGCGTGGTTTGGTAAACTTTTGTACTTATAAGAATAAATGCCTATACAAATAATTCATAACAAAATGAAGATTAATTTTACTTTCTATTTGCTCCAGAATTTTACAATCCGTTAAGAAGCAGGTATTAATTGAAAAAAATTAAAATATCAATTCACAGTCTGTCCCCTATTTCCCTAAAAGTCCCCTTTTTATAATTTTTGCCCCTAAACGTACCCTATTTTGAAAATTTCCCCTAAATATCCCCTATTTTTTTTCTTTTATCTTTTAATGATGAATTCACACCAAATTTAGCAAAGTGGTCGTTAAAACTTTCAATTAGAAACTTTTGTTTTGAAAATTATTTTCATAAATATTTTTTAATTCGTCGCAGGAAATCAATTATTTTTAATAATTTTTAAATAATTCTGTAAAAGAATTCAATTATCTTGATAATTAACCAAAATCTCCCCATAAAATCAATTATTTTAAGGATTTTTAATGTAATTCCTTTCCAAAATTCAATTATAATTCAATTATATTATTATTTTGATAAATATCAAAATTCTTCTCAAGAATTCAATTATTTACAAAAATTTTAATTAAATTCTTGACAAAATTTCAATTATTTAAACAAAATTTAATAAAATACTTTGCACGAATTCAATTATTTTTAGAAATGTTAATGAATATCTCGTCAAGAATTCAATTATTTTTAAAAATAGCAAAATTTTTCACCAAAAATTCAATTATTTTCAAAAATTTAAATAAAATTCTTTGCAAAATTTCAATTATTTTCAAAAGTTTTTCGCAATTCAATGTTTTTAAATATTTACTATTTTCATAAAATTTGTCAACAGATTTAATTATAGAAAAAACTTGTTGATACAATTCTACGAAAAGAATCAATTATTTTCATAAATAATAAAATTTCATTTACGAATTCAATTATTTTCATCGCAGAATTTTAAATATTTTTAATACAATTTTAAATAAATTCCTTGAAAAATGCAATTATTATTAAAAATTTTATTAAAACTTGTGGAAATAATTCAATTTTAAGAAACATTTAATTATTCAATAAAACAATAACATTCGTTGCAATAATTCAAATTTTTTCATAAATAACATTTAATTCGTCGCAGAAAATCAATTGTTTTTAAAAATTGTTAAGTAATTTTGCAAAAGAATTCAAATAATTTGATAGACAACAAAATCGCAAAAATTCTTTCCATAAAATCAATTATTCTAAGGAATTTTAATAAAATGCTTTTCCAATATTCAATTATTTTGATAAATATCAAAATTCATCAAAAGAATTCAGTTCTTTTGAAAAGTAATAAAATACTTTGCAGAAATTAAATAATTTTCACAATTTTTTAAAAATTCTCGTCAAGAATTAAATTATTTTTATAAATAGATAGGGAAATTCTTCTCAAGAATTAAATTATTGCCAAAATTTTTTTTTAAATTCTTCTCAAGAAGTCAATTATTTTTAAAAATTATTATTTAAATTCTTCTCAGAAATTCAATTATTTTTAAAAAATTTAATAAAATTCTTCAAAAAGTTTTCAATTATTTTCAAAAATTGTTATAAAATTCTTTAATATAATAAATTTCTATAAAATTTTAATTAAATTCCTTAAAAGAAATGAAATATTTTCAAAAGTTAATACAATTCTTCGTAAAAATTAAATTTTAAGAAACATTCAATATTATTTATTTTTGTATTTAAATAATTGATTTCTCGTAAAATTAAATTATTGTTTCTCGTACTTTTAACTTACAATTCTGTAGAATTAATTTTTTTGAAAAAGTGTAATTGAATAATAATTGATGTTATTGATTTAAAGTAGTTAAAAATTCCAGAAAATGTTAATTGAATTGAAATGATACAAATAATTTTGAAAAAATTACAGTAACAATATTCTTATAATAATAAAATAATGATTTTGTTAGTCGGTCATCTTTAATTATCATAAAAAATAAAGAAATGGATCACTCCCAGTCTTCGACTCGGAGTGATGCATTTCTTTATGTTTTATAATAATACTAGCCAAACTATCCGCGCGCAAGCGCGCAAGAATGTTGTATGGGGCTGTTTATTTTAAACAATTTAAAAAATTTTAAAGAAATAATTATTATAACCTAACAAAGAGATTTAAATAACTAAAATTCAAATAATTTCACTCAATGGTCTCAATTTAAATAGAATTTACATTACTAGACTTAAACTATGGCTAGAACAATTACAATTAGTATCTGGGTCATCTTTTGCATTGCTTATTTTATAAAGCCATTTTAAATTAAATACTTTTTAAAGAAATAATAATTATTACACACTGAAAAAAGTTTTACTTGAAATAGCGATAAGTTTCTCTAGAATAACGAAAGTATTAATTGAAGCACTAAATAATTTCGCTACTAAAGTAAAATCTGTAGTTCATCCAGCTAAATATTTTTTGCCGTGCATAACGAAAAAAGAATTAAATTAACATCAGATTTTCTACATTAAAAAAAAACGAATTCAAATAGAAATTAATCATTTTACAACTTAACCAAATTCACCTCAGAAATCACTGAATTCGATAATTTAGAAGAAAGTCAGACAAAAGCAGGGTTCCTACAGAATCTGGAAATCATGGAAATCATGGAAATGGTATGGAATTTTTAAAAGGCTTCTGGAAATCAGGCAAATCATGGAAAAGGCCTGTAAATTTTAAAAAATTCTAAATTTTTTCAGTTTTTCATTTTTTCTCTTGAATAAAAATTCAAATAATAATAAAGCTAAATCCCATAAAAGAGAGGAAAAAATGTTGAATTTTAAGAAAATCAGATTTTTGAAATTTTTCGAATTTTTGATAATTTTAGATTTTTTACCAAAGAGTCGATACAATTTAATAAGTAAAGTATTTTCCAAAAGCACAAAAATAATGAAGCTAAATCCCATAAAAGAGAAGAAAAAATGTTGAATTTTAAGAAAATCGGATTTTTGAATTTTTTCGAATTTTTGATAATTTTAAATTTTTTACCAGAGTCGAGACAATTTAATATGTAAAGTATTTTCTAAAGGCACAAAAGTAATGAAGCTAAATCCCATAAAAAAGAAGAAAAAATGTTGAATTTTAAGAAAAACGAATTTTTGAAATTTTTCGAATTTTTGATAATTTTAGATTTTTTACCAAAGAGTCGAGACTATGAAATATGTAAAGTATTTTCCAAAAGCACAAAAATAATGAAGCTAAATCCCATAAAAGAGAAGAAAAAATGTTGAATTTTAAGAAAATCGGATTTTTGAATTTTTTCGAATTTTTGAAAATTTTAGATTTTTTACCAAAGAGTCGAGACTATTAAATATGTAAAGTATTTTCCAAAAGCACAAAAATAATGAAGCTGAATCCCATAAAAGAGAAGAAAAAATGTTGAATTTTAAGAAAATCGGATTTTTGAATTTTTTCGAATTTTTGATAATTTTAAATTTTTTACCAAAGAGTCGAGACTATTAAATATGTAAAGTATTTTCCAAAAGCACAAAAATAATGAAGCTAAATCCCATAAAAGAGAAGAAAAAATGTTGAATTTTAAGAAAATCGGATTTTTGAATTTTTTCGAATTTTTGATAATTTTAAATTTTTTACCAAAGAGTCGAGACAATTTAATATGTAAAGTATTTTCCAAAAGCACAAAAATAATAAAGCTAAATCCCATAAAAGAGAAGAAAAAATGTTGAATTTTAAGAAAAACGAATTTTTGAATTTTTTCGAATTTTTGATAATTTTAAATTTTTTACCAGAGTCGAGACAATTTAATATGTAAAGTATTTTCTAAAGGCACAAAAGTAATGAAGCTAAATCCCATAAAAAAGAAGAAAAAATGTTGAATTTTAAGAAAATCGGATTTTTGAATTTTTTCGAATTTTTGATAATTTTAAATTTTTTACCAAAGAGTCGAGACAATTTAATATGTAAAGTATTTTCCAAAAGCACAAAAATAATAAAGCTAAATCCCATAAAAGAGAAGAAAAAATGTTGAATTTTAAGAAAAACGAATTTTTGAAATTTTTCGAATTTTTGATAATTTTAGATTTTTTACCAAAGAGTCGAGACTATGAAATATGTAAAGTATTTTCTAAAGGCACAAAAGTAATGAAGCTAAATCCCATAAAAAAGAAGAAAAAATGTTGAATTTTAAGAAAAACGAATTTGTGAAATTTTTCGAATTTTTGATAATTTTAGATTTTTTACCAAAGAGTCGAGACTATGAAATATGTAAAGTATTTTCCAAAAGCACAAAAATAATGAAGCTAAATCCCATAAAAGAGAAAAAAAAATGTTGAATTTTAAGAAAATCGGATTTTTGAATTTTTTCGAATTTTTGAAAATTTTAGATTTTTTACCAAAGAGTCGAGACTATTAAATATGTAAAGTATTTTCCAAAAGCACAAAAATAATGAAGCTGAATCCCATAAAAGAGAAGAAAAAATGTTGAATTTTAAGAAAATCGGATTT